ACGGTGCCCCTGCTTTGTCACCCGTGGTGGCCAGGCTGGGACAGACCCCCCCCGGGACGGGACTGCCTGGGGTGGTGATGGGGGCTGTGGGGTCTGTCCCCAAACCCCCCCGGGGGGGCCGGATGAGCCACCACCACGCATCATTATGATTATTATTTTTTTTTGTTTTTAACTACTAGAAATAACTTTTTTAAATAGTCTATTTTAATGTAATTAAATAGAGATTGCTATATCCCCCTTCCAACCCCTCCCCTGGCTGCGTGTGACCTGACGCCGTCCCCGTCCGTCCGTCCGTCCCCCCCCCCTGCAAATAAGCTTCCTATTTATTATCCCTTTGTTTTCTTGCTGGCAAGAAATGATGGCGGAGGGAGGGGGGGCCGGAGGGTGGCCCCCAGCCGTGCGGGGCCGTGTGCCCCCCGGGGGTGGGAGCCGCTGGGAAGCAAAGTCCCCCTCGGGCCGATAAAAATAAAAATTAAGCTCGTGGGTTGAAGCGGGTACCGTGTCTCCTGTGGGCAAAAGAAAACAAAAAACACTGCAAAAAACCTCCCCCCCCCAAAAAAAAAGACGGGGAGGGGGCACCCGGCAGCCTCTGCTCAAGCCCAGGCGGGCGGTGGGGATCTGTGAAATGGGCGCAGCGGGCGAAGGCAGGGCTGGTTTTTGGGGAAGGGGGGGAAGCAGCCTCTGCCAACCCCTGTGGGAGGGTCTACAGCACGTGTCCCTCAGCTCAAAGCTGGGGTTTGGCCCCAAAAGGAGCTCCTGGGGGGCAGAGAGGGGACTGGGGGCAGGGATGGGGAAGGCCCGAAGGCGCAGGGAGGGCCTGGGGCAGGGTGGAAGGTGCCACCAGCCTTGAGGGGCAACCCCGCTCAGCCCCATGGGTGCCCCTGGGACTTCTCCAGCCCCCAACCCTGGGGAGGGGGGCAGCAGCCCACCCCGGAGCCCCCCCAAGTTCCCACCCAATTCCCTTCTCCGGCCCTGCTGGGTCTCTCCCTCCTTCTGCACCCCCCAAATAACGCCCCACAGGGATCCCCTCTCCCCAGGTGGCCAGAAGAAGACAGCGGTGGGATGGGGCTGACCCCGGGAAGGCCCCAGTGGGAAAAGAAGCAGGAGAGGGGAAGGGGGGTGTCTTTGGGGAGGCTGGAACCGCCCCCCCCATGCCCTGCAGCAGTTGCCCCCCCCCGGGCTCCTAAAGGATAAAGCCTTCGCCTGAACAGGGGCTTGAACCCTGGACCCTCAGATTAAAAGTCTGATGCTCTCCCAGCTGAGCTATCCAGGCTCCTGCTGGGGGAGTTTTGGGGGGTTCTTTGGGACAAGCAGTGAGGACCCCACTTCACTGTGTCACCAGAGGGACAACCAGGGGCTTTTTTGTGGGACCGGGCTGTTCCCACCCCGGGCTCCCCCCAACCCCGTGAGCGCTGGGGGTCAGCTCTGACCCTCTGTGGGGCAGGATGGGGGGGGGCAAAAGGAGGGGTGGCCTTTGGGAGCCCACCCGAGCTCATGGCCCCCTCCGAGGGCGTGGGGGTCACCGTTTGAGGACAATTTCTTGTCATTCAGACAATTTCTGTGAGCCTTCCCCACCTGAGAAGGGGAGTCGGGAGAAACAAGGAAACCCCGAGGGTTGAGCTATAAATAGATTTAGCGGGGGAATTAACACTAATAACACTAACGAACCTCCCCTTAGAGCTCTCCCACCCCACCAAGGACACCACGCGAGGAGGAGCCACCACCACCAGGAGCTCTACCCTGCCCTGGCACCTCTTACTGGGGCGAGGACACTCGGGGAAGGGGAGGCACGAACGCTGGGTCTGTCCCCTTGGGGACAGCCAAAAGCCAGAGTGATGATGAGGAGGAGGAGGAGGAAGGAGGAGGAGGAAGAGGAGAAGAACAACCCGGCCAATATGGGTGGAAAATCCCAACCCAGCAGCCCTGAAGCGGCCGTTCCTGAGCCCAGAGCTGGCTCCTCTGCTCCTGCCCCAGCGGGCACCCATCCCGGGGGGGGCACAGGACCCACAGGGAGGGTGAGTGGGGGGCTACTAGGGGGCTACCAGGGGGCTGCCACCCCCCCCCGTTGTCCCCAGGTGTCCCCGCAGGGCGGCCGTGACCGCAGATCTCTGGGGGCAGTCGTGGTGCGGTTCACGTTGGTACCGGGATCGATGCCGCTTCGTTAGCGTTATTAACGGTAATTCTCCCACTAAATCTATTTATAGCTCAGCCCTCGGGGGGTTTCCTTGTTTCTCCCCAACTCCCCTTCCCGGGGGGGGGAGGGCTGACGGGGTGAGAGGGTAATTAAATAATTACCCGAACGACAAGAAACTGTCCTCAAACCGTGACCCCCCCTTCTGGTGGGGCTGGGGCCAGAATCAATTAATTAATTAATTAGCAGGGGGAGGGGGGAACGGAGGGGCGGCTGCGCACCCCAGAGAGCTGGGGTGTTGACTGCATGAGTTAATTATCCTGATTAATTAGGCCCTACTGCTTTTAGCCCGTGACCACGTGGCGGTGTGAACCCCCCTGAGACACGGCCCCCTGGCAGCCACGGGGGCACCGCAGCCCCCCCAGGGGCACCAGGACCCCCCCAGGGAGGGTCCCCTGACCCCCCCAACACCTCTCAGAGACCCCCAGATGGGCACAAAGAAACCCCCCATCCCTCAGAGCCCCCCCCAGGCCCCTCGGAGAAGCACAAAGGGACCCCCAGGTGGCACACAGGGACCCTCCCAGGCCCTGCAGAAGCCCCCCCAGACTGGCACA